CATATTTTTTAATTCAAAGATCAAAGTCTGTCATTAGTCTTTAGTCTGCCAAAAAAAAAAAAAAAAAACCCATTAAAATCATGAACTCAAATGTCATTGTGAAAAAAAAACGTGTTACTGTTGTAACAGTGTGTAGACTAAATCAGACCTTTCAGGCTATAGCCTAACGCTAATAAGCCTTATGGCAAAATTATTATTACAACTAGATTGTCGGTCATTAAATAGGAAAACTAAATAATTTTGTAGATGATTTGCTTTGTGTAGGCCTAACCCGACATCAGACATTATAAGGCCCGGACGAAGTTTTTTTTTGCACACAGTGACGCGACCAATCAATCACTCCTTTAATGCTGCGTTCACACCAGACGCGAATAGCGCGTCAAATTCGCGCCTACCGCGTCTAGTTATGGCCTACGCGTGAACACTTTGAATCCATTCGCGCGTCAAGAGCAAATGACGCGCGTAAAAAAACTAAAGTTTAGACTGGCTGCCTGCACATTCACTGTCCTCGCGGCTGCGGCTGCTGCAATTGGAAGGGGCTGGCTGCAGGACGACTCAACTTCCACGGACAGTTTTTAATATTTTATATCAAGATTTTGCTTTAGTATAATTTTCGGGACAATTAAGGCCGGTTTCGGGATTCGGGACAACAGCTTAGATTTCGGGACTGTCCCGAATTTTTCGGGACTTCTGGTCACCCTAGGGAGGAAAAATCTGAGGGGGCACGTGCCCCCTCACTTTGAATGGGCATGACGCCACTGGTTAGTAGTCTGGTGATTTTGAACGGATGGGTGGAGCTGAAAGACCTGGTGCTGAGGGCGTGTTTGTGGAATCCGTGACAGAATATCATGGTGAATGGTCCAATGAATCGAGGGCTCAGGTTGCGAGAAGGCAGCCGGAGACAGATGTCCCTGGTAGAGAGCCATACCTTCTGCCCTGGATGGTAAATGGATGTTGCTGCTCTTCTTGCGTCTGCCTGGCTCTTGTGTCTCCGTACAGCCCTCTGCAGCTAGATGTGAGCTAAATCCCACACCCTCTCTCTCTACTGGAACCAGTAGTTCGCAGCTGCAACGTCTAATGGCTCACCTGACTAGGGAAACAGGGGTGGTTGTGGCGCTGTCCTCCTCCAAGATGGGCTTGAGAATGTCCATCACCCCGTTTGCTACTTCTCCAAGAAGTTTAATCAACATCAACCGCGGTACTCCACCATCGAAAAGGAGACTCTGGCCCTTGTTCTTGCTGTCCAACACTTTGAAGTACCGTAATTCCTCAAATAAAGACCGGGGCCTTTATTTACCTGAACTGCAGATGGTAGCCGGCTTTTATTTGAAGCAGGCTTTTATTAGAGGCAGGCCTTTATTTCTAATTCGCGATCCCCGCCCGCCCGCCAGCCAAGTTTCCATGGTGACGCGTCATGCTTGGCACGTGTTCACCACAGCCAAAATAGCGCTGTATGACAGATGTAGCGCTTTTATTTCTAAATATTAACAAACTTGCTTACCATGTCATCAACTATCTTCTATTCTGACTCTCAAATCCGTGTAAGTGAGTTTGTTTTGTCGTTTAAAACCCTTTATAAATTATCTTGATCTGTAACGTGAGATGGGCACCGCAGTTCAGAGATTCCTGTCTGTTGGATTTGTTACGTTACAGCGCGTGAATTCTTCAGTTTCTCCCGAAATACATGAAAGTAAGTGGCCGGTGAACTGGGAGAAGAATAGAGTAAACTTTATAGTTACTTAAACTGTGTATCTGATATGAATAAAACACGTCGCCAAATATATTTGAATGGATTGTTATTGCTGCTTCCATAGACACCATTGTGTATTTTACAAACTATAAATGTATTGTTTTGCTATAAATCATATCTATTTAAATGTCTGAAACCTAAAATAAACATGTGGTTAAAAACACTGAATAGTTGTGATATGACAACCGCTGAGCGAGTCCGTCTTTGAGTGTACACTAATTTTTCCCCGGCCTTAATTTGAGACCGGCCTTTATTTGTCCGCGTTGACCACGCCCCCGGCCACTATCAGAGGCCCGGCGTTTATTTGAATACCGGTCTTTATTTGAGGAATTACGGTATATCTGGGTGCTTCAGATAGAACGACCGTTTATAGTGATCATGACCCTCTGAAGTTCCTAAGCCGCATGAGAAACGCTAATCAGCGTCTGATGCGGTGGAGTTTGATCTTACAACCTTTTAACATTGAGGTTAAACATATCCGTGGTACTGATAACGTCTTAGCAGACGCCTTATCTAGAGTCCCTTAGTGCAGTATTTCTATGTTTAGTTACTTGATAACTGTATTGTCATAACTCAAATTGTTTGTGTGTTTTGTAATTTAAATCACAGTATTGTTCTTTTTTTTTGTTTTTTTTTTAGTTTTGAAATTGCCACACGCTATTGGTGGGGTGTTTGTGTATGGCATTATATGTTATGTCTTGTTGTTTATATTATGATTATGGAGACTGGAGTCACCATTTTGGTGTGGGGGTGTGTTACGTTCCTCTGTGTCCTTTACTAATGTTTGGCTGCTCGGCAGTATGTTTTTCATTTGTTATTGTGTGCAGGTGTGATCAGGTAACGAGTGGGCGGAGAGACACCCTTTAAAAGCTGAGGCACTTCTTGCAGAGAGAGAGGAGAGGAGGGAGAGACTTGTGTACCGGCCACCACGCCTGTTGTTAATCTTCCTGCAATGTTTTGTTCTGTTGTAGTTATTTCCCAATTTCAGTTTTGTTTGTAATTTACTCAATTGTTTAATAAACCCGCTAGACAAACGAGTACAACTGACTTTGCGGTTACTTTGTTGTGGCCAGGGTGCCTGATCATAACACCAACCACTCCCTACCGCCAATGTACGAAATTGGTTAGCATAATCACCCACAGTTAACTGAGCTTGACGAAGACTGGACAGCTGATCGTGCACAGAAATGTTGTGAGTGAGCACCTCTTTAAAGTGTTCCAGGAAGTCATCTAGAGAGCGAATGAGCTGGCCATCCAGATCCCAAATGATTTGTGCCCATTAAAGAGTGCGTCCAGAGAGGAGTGAAATGATATAGGCGAGCCGGGCTCTGTCACTTTGGAAGCACTGTGGGTGCATCCCAAACTGCAGTGAACACTGTAGTAGGAAGCCGCTGCAATCCCCCGCCGCTCCAGTGAAGGTCGCTGGTTGGGCCATGGGCATACCTGTCAACATTGGGATTTGAAAATAAGGGAAATTTATTCCTCAACTGAGGGAACAGAGCTACTAGCCTTGTCCCTGTAAAATAAAACAATAGTGTTGCTAACTGAACATTGCTGAAGTGATTTATGTAAACCATGCAATACTTCATAACATGTTAATTGTAAACTGTACCTAATCTCTACCTGTCCCTGGAGTGATGTGAAGCCGAGATGCAGGGTCCAGCACTCTCAGGTCCTTCAGGAGCTGGGAGTCAAGTGGAAAGCAGTTGAACATCTTTCTCAGAACTGCTTCATAGAAGGCTCTCACAGTTCTACAACAAGGTAATAGTAAAAACAACAACAATATGCATTAGAGATAGTAGCAAACATTTCAGGCACACTATAAGTGTTATCACAGGCTGTCAAAAGATGAGTAATATACTCACTGAAAGATTTTTTTTCCTGGATGAAACGGGGAGCTCTGCATTTCTGATGAATGCCTTCGTCTCTGCTCCAATGAAGAGGTCTCCCTGAGAGGCACATCCAAGATGGCCCTGGCTGGTATTAGGTAGCCCAAAAACCGCCTAATCAGCCTGCACATCTCCTCTTCAAGCCAGTGAATCTGTACTCCCTCTGACTGTAGACAGTACATGTAGCCACAATAAAATCTGAAATAAAAACTGAAATAATAAATATTATGGTATGTGATTTATTCAGATCTATTATTCTGACATTATCCCAAGAGGTCATGACACCCACCTGAAAGGCAATATTAAATTCAGCTAAAGGCTTAAAGGATTAGTTCACTTTTAAAAAAAACTTTTGCTGATAATTTACTCACCCCCATGTCATCCAAGATGTCCATGTCTTTCTTTCTTTAGTCGAAAAGAAATTAAGGTTTTTGATGAAAACATTCCAGGATTTTTCTCCATATAATGCACTTTGCTGGCCACCAAACGGTTCAAGGTCCAAAAGACAGTTTCAGTGCAAACTGTTCAAATGGCTTTAAACGACACCAGACGATGAATAAGGGTCTTGTCAAGCGAAACGATCGCTCATTTAAAAAAGAAATAACAAAGTTTAAGTTTTATAAGCTCAAATGCTTGCCTTGCTCTGTTCTGTGTGACTCTCCTGTTCGAACTCGTTCATCAAAATGAACGAATCTTTTTCCGAGTCAATTCGTTCATTTCGTTCGTTAAATGAACCAAATGACTCGAAAAAAGATTTGTTCATTTTGATGAACGAGTTCGAACAGGAGAGTCACGAACGTGCATCACAGAACAGAGCAAGGCGAGCATTTGACATTATTAAACTTAAACTTTGTTATTTATTTTTGAAATGACCGATCGTTTCGCTTGATAAGACCATTATTCATTGTCTGGAATCGTTTAAAGCCCTTTGAACAGTTTGCAGTTTGCACTGAAACTGTCTTTTGGACCTTGAACCGTTTGGTGCCCAGCAAAGTGCATTATATGGAGAAAAATCCTGGAATGTTTTCATCAAAAACCTTAATTTCTTTTCGACTGAAGAAAGAAAGACATGGACATCTTGGATGACATGGGGGTGAGTAAATTATCAGCAAAAGTTTTTTTAAAAGTGAACTAATCCTTTAAGGGCAATACTCAAGACAATAAAGTATGTTTTCATAACTGGATCACGGAGATGGTTTGCCAGATCACGAACTTTGGCATTCTTCTCCACCTCCTGGAGACTGTCAAAGTATGCCTATAGACTTAGGGATATAGGGTGGCAATATATGGTGAAAAAAATGCAATGGAAACATTTTCAAGATATCTGCTGAATGGAGTTTACCATCCTACCTGCAGAGCATCCCACTGGTTCAGTATTCTCTGAATGCATGTAAGCAGACTGAGCCATCTGGTACTGCCGTACCTCGGCAGCTTCAGGTTGTCAGAGTCTGTGAACTCTACAAACTCCTTGTAGAGCTCACATCTCTTTGCACTGAAATGAGAGAATAATTTTGAGTTTATTAAGTGGTCTCAGATTGCTCATGGTGTAATTATTAGATATAGAGCTAAAAGTTATAAAGTGTGAGTGAGTGAGTGAGTGAGTGAGTGAGTGAGTACTTTTATTTTACATTTACCTTTTGTCAAAGTGGGTGTATATCCCAACCAAAATGTCCTCTACTGGAAGTTTGGTTGCTTTGATGCCACAACCAGTGGCAAGCTGGAGAAGGTGGCAAATGCAGCCAAGGTCCTGGACATTAGGCTGGCTTCCTCTTAGTCTGCTAATCACTGAATTGTGTCTGCCTTTCATTACACTTGGATTGTCAGAGTTGAAGGCAATGACATTCTCCTATGGAATGCCTCTTTTGCTATTGGAAACAGGAAATCAAAACAATATGCCCATAATTCAGTTTCATGTGATCACAGTTTACATAAAAGCTTTTGTCAAATAGGTTATTTCTATTTGACAAAAGCTTTTATGTAAACTGTGATCACATGAAACTGAAATAAAAAATCTTCTAGCTGTTATAATTAAATGCAAACTAGGTAAACACAGTGCAGTTCCCTCACCTCAATGCTTCGGACAGCTTTTCATATAGGTTTTCTGCATTTCCCCCCACAGTGCATATGGGGCATCAAGGAACTTCGTTGTCACCTCCAGATTGGACTCATTATAAATTCTTGCAAGGATGACAAATTCTTTGACGGTTTTTCTGTTGTTTGATTCATCGCACAACAATGAAAAAGGCTGACATTTACATATCCTTGCTACGTCCTCATCAAGCTCCACAGCTATGGCACCTGTTAAGCAAAAGTGTCCATTTACTTTAGGCTACACCATGGGAACATTATAAAGGATTTGATTCGATTGTCCTATTTATTTTGAATCAACAAACTTTTGAAGTCTATATCTTACCTTTGATGAGTTGCATGGCTTACGTTTTTCCCTCAGAGCACTTACGAGCGATGGCAGAGTCAGGGAACATGTCTGCTACACTACGGTTGAAATAATCGCAAAAACATAAGGCCACATTATTTTCAGCTCAGCTTTGGTCACTTGATCAGCCTCAGAAACGTTTGTAGTTACAAATGCAGCCATTGGCTGGGCATGTTTCTGCACCTCTGCACGCGCTTGTGCTTTGCAAATTTTTCATGTTGGCTCACATCACTTTTCCCTCCGTCTGATACACTAAAACGTGTAGCATATTTTACAAAAAGCATGACTTTGCCCGATGTTGCTCTTGGTTAAGCACGGGTAAGCCTCCCTCTCCCATTTGTTAAGATACTTGCACAAAGTTTTCTCCTTTTTGCAGGTACTCCAACCTCTCTCACGTTCCTCCATCCTCGGGATGCTGTTCATCTTCGCGAGATTTTTCCGGTAACACTTTACGGTAGGGGGACATGAATTATAATGAATTCATGTATAAATTCATGCATGAATTGTGCATTCTACTGTATGACTACTGTATTGGACAGACCCCAAAATAGACCAATCACAGCTCATAGCACACACATTCTGTTGACATTCAAATACTGTAGTCATCATTAACTAAGCATTATCTATCAATGACTTCATCATGTGTGTGGACTCTCAACTAAAGTGGTGACTAGGTCCTTTGAAACACTAATGAACAATGTTGTATTAATGGTGGCATAACTGTGAACAAAGAAAACATAATGATCATGCGTAATAAATCATAATTCATGATGATGTGCTCATCTTAGTTAATGTTTTAATTAAGGTGTTGTTCATCCATGAAGTCATGAATGAAAAACGTTGAACTTGTGTTAGTTCCTGATGATTCATGAGATATTAATGCATGAATGAATGCATAATTCATGCATGAATTTATACACTCACCGGCCACTTTATTAGGTACACCTGTCCAACTGCTCGTTAACACTTAATTTCTAAGCAGCCAATCACATGGCGGCAACTCAGTGCATTTAGGCATGTAGACATGGTCAAGACAATCTCCTGCAGTTCAAACCGAGCATCAGTATGGGGAAGAAAGTTGATTTGAGTGACTTTGAACGTGGCATGATTGTTGGTGCCAGAAGGGCTGGTCTGAGTATTTCAGAAACTGCTAATCTACTGGGATTTTCACGCACAACCATCTCTAGGGTTTACAGAGAATGGTCCGAAAAAGAAAAAACATCCAGTGAGCGGCAGTTCTGTGGGTGGAAATGCCTTGTTGATGCCAGAGGTCAGAGGAGAATGGCCAGACTGGTTCGAGCTGATAGAAGGGCAACAGTGACTGAAATAACCACTCGTTACAACCGAGGTATGCAGCAAAGCATTTGTGAAGCCACAACACGCACAACCTTGAGGCGGATGGGCTACAACAGCAGAAGACTCCACCGGGTACCACTCATCTCCACTACAAATAGGAAAAAGAGGCTACAAATTGCAAGAGCTCACCAAAATTGAACAGTTGAAGACTGGAAAAATGTTGCCTGGTCTGATGAGTCTCGATTTCTGTTGAGACATTCAGATGTTAGAGTCAGAATTTGGCGTAAACAGAATGAGAACATGGAACCATCATGCCTTGTTACCACTGTGCAGGCTGGTGGTGGTGGTGTAATGGTGTGGGGGATGTTTTCCTGGCACACTTTAGGCCCCTTAGTGCCAATTGGGCATCGTTTAAATGCCACGGCCTACCTGAGCATTGTTTCTGACCATGTCCATCCCTTTATGGCCACCATGTACCCATCCTCTGATGGCTACTTCCACCATGTCACAAAGCTCTAATCATTTCAAATTGGTTTCTTGAACATGACAATGAGTTCACTGTACTAAAATGGCCTCCACAGTCACCAGATCTCAACCCAATAGAGCATCTTTGGGATGTGGTGGAACGGGAGATTCGCATCATGGATGTGCAGCCGACAAATCTGCGGCAACTGTGTGATGCCATCATGTCAATATGGACCAAACTCCCTGAGGAATGCTTCCAGCACCTTGTTGAATCTATGCCACGAAGAATTGAGGCAGTTCTGAAGGCAAAAGGGGGTCCAACCCGTTACTAGCATGGGGTACCTAATAAAGTGGCCGGTGAGTGTACATGAATTCATGATAATTCATTTACCATTACCGTAAAGTGTTACCATTTTTCCCCCTAAAAAATCCCGGAAATCCCGCCCTGCAGCCGATTCTAAAGATTTCATTGGTCATGTCAATCACAGTACTGATTGCCTACACCAAACACTGATCCCTAAACCTACCAGTCACTGTAACCTTAACCAATGAAATTAGCTGCAGGGCGGGATTTCCACTGAACTGGTTTGCGGCCAGGGGATTTTTTATAGAAAGATTAAAAATACGGGAGTAATACGGTAAAATAGTTAAACAGGATGATAGCGGGATAGAATGGTAAAATACGAGAGACTCCCGGTAAAAACGGGAGGGTTGACAGTTATGGCCGTGGGACTGTCGAGTGAGAAATGGTTGGTGGAAGTAGTGACTGTCTGAGTGTCTGCACGAGCTCAGGGATTGAATCGGAAGCTCCTGCTTCCATCCTTTTCAAGTTTAGGTCCGGTTTTCTGTTGGTGGAATCCGTTACACTGTTACAGTAATGTGAAATTACTTTTATGTTTCCAATAAAACTTTTTTTTATTTCTTCAGGTGAATTTAATTTAAGATATTTTATTAAAAGCAATAAGAAAATGAACATCTAGATGAATGGGCTATCTAAAATCTAAATGATCTTAGAACGCATGGCTGTGTAAACCTAAACACTTTACAATAAGGTTTCATTAGTTAACAAACTTTAGTTAACATGAACTAAGAATTAACAATAATTCTTTAAAAAATGCTTAAAAATTGGCTCGCAAAAATGATGCACTATATATTCAATCTATTTTGTGTGTGTGTGTGTGTGTGTAGTTGGCAGTGATTTCCAAGATTAGTTCTTGATACACTTGGTAATAACAAGCATATTTACTCAACAGAATCAAAGTCCATGCCCTCACCAACCTTTTCCCATGTGAGAGGATGAAGCTGATTGATTTACCATTAAGAGGCACCCCTCCTCCCAGAGTAGCCTACCCCAAATCCATCATGTAAACAGACCAGTAAGTGAAGGCCAGTAAAAATCACTACTGTCTCCACACCATCCGCTGCAAGACAGAGCCGGATCTCAAGTACAGTGACTGTGGTTGGACCAGACCGCTGCCACTTCCTCACATTGCATGGCTGCTTCTAACCACACCAGTATGTGTTCATACTCTCCATGTCTTCAGGCTACCCAATCCAAGTAGCTGAAATGTACGTCTTGAGAGTTTATGCAGAAAATATCAAAAGAGTTTGCTGTTTATCACGCAATGGAAAGGAGTGAAACAAGTGTCCTTGGTAAACAGAAGCAAAACACTTAATGAGTCAATGTGCCCCAGATTTTCTGCTGCAGAAGTGAAACAAGCACACAAACATTGTGCTTAGTTTAAGCCCAAAGTCTACTTCACTTTAGTGTTTAATTAAATTTAGTCTTAGTCCTGTGCCAAATGTACTTTTAAATTTTTATAATTTTTAGTCAACCTTGTTCTGTTTTTGTTTAGTCAAATTTTAGTCGATTGAGGTCTGGTTTCACAGACAGGGCTTAAATTAAGCCAGTAATAGGCCTTGGTTCAATTATGACATTTAAAATAGCTTTTATAAACATGCCTTAGAAAAAAACATTACTGGTGTAAATCTTGAGACAAAACTATGGCACTGACGTATTTTAAAGGTCCCCAGACATGGGGTTATTTTATTATTTTATAATGTTTCCTGGGTTGCCCTTATGTTAGTATGTTTTTTAGATCAAAAATAGTCATAATTTAGAAATAAAAGGCAATTTTCCTAGGCTGATTTTAGCCTCTGATTTGAACGCTCTGTTTGAAGGGGCGTGTCTGCTGTGGGATTCAGTGTAACCAGCCACTGCTGTGATTGGCTGACATGCTTGCATATGAAATAGCTATGTATTACATGCGAAACTTTCTCGAATACTTTTACTACAGCTATTATACGTTTTTACTATTACAGCTATCGAGATTAACGAATCGTGAGAAGTTTTTAAAGTATTTAGATATATTCCCATCACATAAAATGTTGCCGTGATGAGCATTGAGCAAGCAGATGACAGTCTGTTGATCGCAAGCATGAAGATCTTATCATTGCAACGCAGTTTCTGCACTCTCTCTATTGCTTTCACCAATGCAAACACGATGATGTACAGTAAGAGCTTCGTTGTGCAGTGTAACGTGCGTCATTGATTTCATAATGAGTTGTCAAGATAAACTCGCGCTGTGTGGAAAGATTGTTCTTTGATCGCTTTCTGTATAATTTGTTCAGAATTTAAATAAGATTATTTTCATCCTACTAAAAGAAACGATGTGAAGTTGATATTTTAGTCACTGGCTTGACTTACTGATGCATAAACAGTATTGAACGATTTTGAGAGAAAGATTAACTTACCTGTCTGAACTTGAACAATTAGGCTACACATCAGAAATTGTTGCTTGGTAGCTCGATCGATTTATTTTCAGACGTTCATCGAGTTGAGGAAACAGTCGTCGGTGAAATGTTTGGACCATACAAAACTTTGGGAAGTTGTGTCGGCGCATTTCCAGAGAAAATAAAATTAACCCATTGTTTCTTCAGAGCCTCGGATGAAGGAACTAAAA